TTCCGTTCACATATATCCAAAAAATTTTGGTATCGAGAAAAAAAGTTAAGTAATTTGTCTAAGTACAGATTGTAAGATATTTCAATCCAACGGAACTGTCCAAAAATTTTGAGACATCATTTAAAGTTTTATAGCACAAATGGAAAGTTTCAAAAGTTTTGGAATTTTCTTACAGTTTTTAATTGGAGATTGGGCGGCACCGGTTGAGGGTTGTCACAAACCAGTCACGAGCAGGACAGAACACGATACCTGTTAATATGCCTCCGTTTCGTCAATGCACTATATCTGCATGTAGGTTTGTTGGAACTCCCCGAATCAAGGTTTCCGACTGATGATTCCTTGGATAGTGAGCGAGTTCCAATGCAAAAGACAGGCCACGTACAAAACAAAATGTCTTCTTCTTTGTCGTCATTTTCGAAGTAGAAAAACTCCAGCTGGGAGCTGGCCGCCCATACACTAGCAACAATAAGGTACACTGTGCAGTATTTTTGGCTGGTGGTCCACTCGAAAGATACTGTCAGCTCTGTGGCAATGTTGCGCAACCGACTCAGGAATTGGGGAGTGTGTTGATCGTCCAGACAAGAATAGGTTATTTCGGCTAGATTGAGTTTTTCGACTCTTGCTTCGATGCCAGGTTTTACTTTGTGATCCACAGTGAATTCCCTTGTGGGGCGACAGAATGTGCGCGCTCAATCTCCGTAGTATGATTTAAAAACGAAATATCAATAATAAATTTGTATTCTCGGCAGAACAAAATTCATCGGTAATACTGGCTAATTTCATCCAAATTTTGTAGTTAAACAAGTTCATCACTTCACCAACACAGCTTCCATAACAAAATGGAAATTGGCGCAAGCTTGATACAAGAACCGGTCGGTAATGTCCTGGAGACAAATTGCTCTTTTTGACGATCAGCCTTAATCAAGGCTGAACCGAATTAGAACCAAAAACAATTAAAACAGGATATAACCCCCTTTTTTAGTGTTTTAATACATGGGCAGGTGAGGGACTCGAACCTACGTCAACTGTCATGTCTATATATAGTCGGCGTTACTGTAGATAAGCTTAGGCCGCTCGGCCAACTGTTCTTATTTTTATGCATCTATACTCTTGTATTTATATGCGTTTCAACAGTAGGAACGACGATACGTTCGTCAATGAGCAGGATGTCCTCGCGGACGTGTAATCGCTTACGTACGGTGTACCAACACTGGCCGTATAAGGACTTAATTGATTCCCGATTCTCAACAAAATTGATGAGTAGTCTCAAATTTCTGTCCTTTCTGGTAGCGCCGCAATGAATTTTACGCCACGCACATTTTGTAGTTTTTTTACCAAACAGCGTTGTGTCCTTGCTGCCCTATTGATTATGGCCACAATCCCTTCTGTAATGATGTGATAGCTTGCCTCGAGTTGTATGTTGGTCACTGTGGGGGGTGCCTCGTTTGGTGCATGTTCCTCTTGACTGACAATGATGGGATTGACCCGGCTCACACAGTGTTCGTTTGTCTCTGGTTGTGGATTATCGGTTTGTTTGCCTGCCATTGCTTTATTGTTTGGTTTGGACCGCTTGTGTCGTTTTCACTTTGAGTGTGGTTGGTGTTTGCGTTTTCGTCGCGTATTCACCGAATATGATTTTTGGTAAATTCTTTGGCGATGGCCTCGATGAAAGCAGTTCGTGCGCGTCCTTGACGGACTCCTTTGATGATGAAGTGATGGTGTCTGTTAGTTTTTGTTTCCTGGCGGCTGGTGGTCGTTTATGCCACCGCGGGTCCGATAAGCTCTCCTCTCTGTCGGAAGACCCCTGCCAGTAGGATGTTTTTTCGTCCTTTCTGCCTCGAGGTTCCAAAGTCTTAACTTCGTCTGGAATGAATCCGCCTTTAAAATTTCTTTTCGTTCATTTTTTGCTCTGCGTTTATGTTATTGACAAAATTTTTTGAGTTTGTGATTGCTGAAAAGTTTTTTTTTGAGAGAGAACTGACTGAGTTTTAGATTGATTTGATTAGGATTGATTTTGTTTCAGCGTTTGCAAATGACCAATTCCGGAATTTCCGGAAAGTTGTTTTTTCAATTGAGAGACTGAAGTGCTAATTATTAGCCGTTTATATTCCACGTGCTTTTTGATCAGCTGACGCGGTGCCAAATTCCGATTAGCTAAATTGTTAAGGATGACATTGTCAATCATTTCGAGGATGTTTATGAATGCATTAATTGATGCTACAACGAATTCCTCATCGCACTCGCTTGGGGGTATTGCCAGTCCGACTGGATTTCTTGACATATAGTCTCATGTTCTCATATAGTCTCAACGTTTCCTCGTTTTTGTTTTTCTTGTACTAATTTAATTCCGATCTGTGGTAATATATTTCTACCTATGATGTTTGCTTTCTGGTCGTTTACAATGATGAATGGGGCGGCCTGTATTTTCCAACATCCATATTCAATTGTTATGATCAATCATCCTTTTCCGCATGATTTCGAGCAGCGTCTTCCGGTGGGATACGTTTGAACAATGCTGATTTGTCAATTTCTTCAAGCCGCCGAGCTGCTTTTTTGTTTAGAAACGACATTAGACTCCCGGAATCGGCGATAGCAAAAACTCTTCTGTTTTTGTCTTTAAATTGACTTTGTGTCCGTCAAGATCATCTTCTGATAAGCTGGCCGTTTTTTTAAATTTCGAAAGCCTCAGAAATTGTCATTACCGAAAATTTATCAGTTTGGTATTCATCCCAACCATTATTTGATGTAAATTCAGCGAATGCTACTGGATTGTTATCCGTTTCTTGACTTTCAGTCTCAATTTCCTCCTGTTGTTCCTCATCATTGCGGTCCCCCATATAATTGACGTGTCCTGAACGGCATGCTTTGGCAAAGTGCCACCGTTTGGCACATTTTGAACAAATTTTATCCTTTGCGGGAGACGATTGTAAGTTGTTCTGTCCCAACTGGTTACCATATTTGTAACATTGTTACTGAGCATTGAAGTTTGTGTTTCGTTGTTGCTGTTGACCTCTTGTATGTTGTTGTCCACGTGGATACGGTCGACCGCGAAATCTGCCCCGACTTCTCTGTGAACCCTGATTGTTCGCATAGTTACCTCATTCACGTGTAATTATATAATGTACTGGCTCTTGTTTTACTGTTGTTTGATTTCCAAACGGATTTATCTTCACTGTGCGACTATGTTTGATACTTTTTTCTCATCGTAATGCGTATTCATATGCATCCTGTGGGTTTCGCGTTTGAGCTAGTAGTTCCTCGGCAATTTTCTCATTGTGCATATGTGCGGTGAACATGTCTCTCATCCACTCATCTTTTGGGTCCCACAGTCGGCACTTGAAGCCAGTTCAACTAGATCTGCAAGAAATTGTTCAAGGCGTTCCGTTTTCTTTTGTTTTCTACGAATGAAGTTGTATCTTTCAAACGCTACAATTTTGGTTGTGACAAAAATATCTTCTAAGGTTGTTATTAAATTTCTTGCAGCCGACTCTCTTTTCTTGATTTCTAACTTGCCCGTTTTTTTGGGTTTCCGTTTCTCCCGTTATCTCAGTTCATAGATGGGTTCTGTAGGCTCAACTAGTGGTGGTTTATTTCTTTGTAGATTTCTTACTTCGATTCCGTCCTTTGCAAATACTGCCAGTTCGAATATTGCTGCCCATTTTAACCACTCGAGAGGTGGTTCAGCCAAAGCTTTCTCCCAGAATGGGCTGACCAAAGTCACCTGACCAAACCTGTCATTGGATTTGTAAAAATAGGTCAAACATAAATGTATGCATCAATGATGCTAAGTTTATCTATCCGTACCGGATGACAAACTTATTGGATTTCACAGTTTAAAAAAACCCAATATACTAGCAACAAAGGCTTCTTTCATAGTTCAGACCTCCAATTTGTTATCAAAAATAATGTAGTGAATAATTTTGTCGGAAGTTTCTATTCCAAAATTGAATCCAACATTGTTCTAACATCTCTGCTGCTATTCTTGTTCCCAAATGATTAAAATGGAGTCCTCTATTAGTACTTCTTTACAACAATTATTTATTATTTGACCTACCAGTCTGCTTTTTTCTAAATAGCCTTTGCCCCAATTATATACTTTTTTGAAGGGGTGAGCTTGCCAAAAACTGCCATTTTTCGCTTAAAACTTTCCAAAAAGTAAGCCAAAGACAAAATTTTGCCTGCTTTCTCGAAGCAGTTTGCCAAAGGCGAAGATTTTTTCTTTTCAAAATATGAGTTTTATGAGCTTTTATGTCAGCTTGAAAAATCAATTTAGTAAGAGTTGAAGCAAAGACGGCCAAAATTCGGATTAAATTTTTTACTAACCGATACCCGGCCAAAAAAAAATTTGCGCTCGCCACTAATTGAATTAGTCTGTAGAAGTAACAAAATCCAGCTGGCGTCCGGCAGTTAGGACGACAGCTGATACGACGACAACTGTTCAAGATGGTATTTCAAGACGACACTACACAATTCTTCAGAGGTATTTTTGAAGAATATGAGCCACTCAAGCTCGATGGAAGAATTCGTTTTAAATTAAAGCTCATTTGTAGTCCTTGTGTCATTTCGTCTGAATATTTCCTTTTTTCAACCAAGTACCAATCCAACTGCACAAATAATTCATTTTTCCAAAGTCAAGTTTAGGGCACGTTGTCACATCTTTATCTCTTGCCTTTCTGACTGTTTTACTTCCTCTCTCTGTTAAAAAATAATTGATTTTGAATGTAAAGTTTTTTTGAAATCTGATATATATTAACAGACAAAATACCTTCATTTTCTTTTTTTTGTTAGCGGAAAGTTTTTAGATTGGACCATGGGAGTTAGTGATAACTTAAAAACGTTTTGACTTTTTTGATGGCAATAAAAAAGGCAACTAAATTAAATCACTTTTTATTATTTCCACCAAAAATCAAAACGTATCATTTTTTGGAGTTCAACTCCTATGGTCCAATTTACAAGCTATCCGTTAACGAGAGAAAAGTATAAATTTATTTGCTGTTTCTGATGATAAAATCAGATTACAAGATAAGGGTTCATTCAAATTGTAAGCTTAAAGTTGAAAAAAAAAACTATTTCTTTTGTTCAACGTATTTTGCTGATCTATTAAAATCTACTAATCTAGGATTGTTAAATACATATCAAATTTTTTGAGAGTATAGCTGACAACATAAAATAAACAATTTTACAAGATTTTAAGCTAATTCAAATTTGAACTGTAAAATATAAAATTTATCAAATCAGGGTGGGTTTGTGTATTTTAAGCAAAGGCTCGGAAATTAATTTGCATTGACCTTGTTCAGAAAAATAGTCACGGGGTCATAAATATATTTTAAATTCTGATATCTCCTGTAATTTTCAAAAAACCATGTTCAGTTTTCTTGTTCAGAAATGTTCACATTTAGAAGGCTGTGGTTTAGTTGAATATTCACGTCCAATGAAAAACATCTAAACTCTGGTATCATGGTGACAAAAAACAGGAGGAAAAATGTCCCCGATGCCCATTCGCACCCAGTTGAAATCACGTGCCAGATGTATCCAGGGTCTCCTTTTTGCCATTCGTATTGACTGTGGGAGGGTGTGCGCATGGCGTCTTCCCATTGGGTAGAGGCTACCATTGAGGCGCCAACTGATATTCCGATCACGAGTAGCGACGACACTCCGAGGAGTGTTCGGATTAAGGGCACTCTTCGACTTGAGAACACGGGTCGCAGGGTATATGAGTTGAAACTCTCGGCTGAAACAAATCAATTGACATAGAAAAAAAAAACTAAAATTTAGTATATAAAATGTGACCTTGTCAGAAATATTTAATCATAACTTGAGGATATTCATATGCTCTCAAACAGTGGAGATTTATGTGGTCAGTTGGCAGGGGACATTTTCCCTTCTAAGGGAATCGACCATCTGCCGACCCAAAGAGTCCCCCTTAAGTACTATTTTTCTTAAAGGCTCCCAATTTAAAAACTATGAGGGGGAGCGCGCGCCGAAAATCGCAATCGTTTGGTGAAAAAATTCCGACAAACGCCCATATGATCTGTTTTTTTTTCAAACACTCACCTGCGGCGCAAACTTTTTTTAGGGTCTTTACAGTGAACAGAAAATTATTTTGCTCGGCCTCTAAGAAGTGAATGGTCGCAAATTTAAAATCGTTCACTTTGAAATCGTCAGATCGTGTATTCGATCCCATGCCATGGCAATGATAGTGTGTGAGGACGAGCTCTCACTTGACCTCCAGCTTCAGGTCTACCATAACTTGACCAAATTTGGCTGCAATAGTGGTACCACGTAAAAGTACTAGACGCAAAAAAACGGCCTTGAGTCGCAAAAAAACAGCTTCGCTCAGCAAAATAACACTGTCTGGAATGTGGGGAGATAATACAAATGGGCTATCCTCGACAGGACAGTTAAGGCCTACTGATAGCTCCTCTGCGATTCGCAGGAACAACAATTATTATTATTATAGTTTGTTCGAAGTTTTCTTAAACCAAATCCCCCTCCCCCTTTTTTTTACCCCTGTTCCAAAATCGCCCTAAATCAAATTCCCGTGAGCTGTTTTGCAAATAAATTTTTGACATCATTATAAACCTGATGGTATGACCAAATATAGAACCTGCATTGAAATGACTTTTTTAAATATTTTTTAAATTTGTTTCTCTTTTAATCAACTATTTTTCTATTCTTGCTTCATCTAACTTTCTCGATTTGTATGTAACATAAACATAAGCTTTCTTACTGAGTACATAAAATCCACCAAGCCCAAAGGTCATCGCAGCTCCAATGAAGTGAAGTTGAGAAACATGTGATTCCTGGAAATTGGCCACCATTGACATCCCGAATCCCGCCAAAACCATCAAAATCAGTCCTAGTTTGTTCATAATCCAGTTCACGTTGGTCGAAATTAGCTCACGTTCCATGTATGCTTTGATCATCCAATAGCGAAGCACTCCGAAGACGATAGCACACATAGCCGAAATATTGAGAAGTTGGCCGAAATAGCAGCTTTCAGGGGCGTGAGCGCCGGCGTCTGAAATATAAGGCCAGAATGGGAAAATATGACCCTGGCCGTAAGCTATGAGATAGGACACCACAAAACAGATTCCGGTGTTGGCGACCAGTAAAACTGGCAAAAAAGAGTAGCCTCCGTACCAGAGGGCTAAAAAATCTGAGAACGTCATTTGAAAATGTGGGTTCATTGTCAAATTGGGTTAAATCTATAACAATTTAAATCAAATTTCTAAAACCACTCCGAGACAGTATAAGATGTGGGTTTTGCTTGATTAAAGATAAATACTGTTGTTTACTAGCCCAATAATAAACTAAATAAATAAACCAATTTCGAAAACAAATTTTGAACAATAGCAATTTCTCATAATAGTTTGAAAGAGCTCGACCTGCCCAAAAAAACTCGAAAGCTCGAGGTTTCACCAAAAGAGCATGTTTGAAAATTTTCGCTTCCGCATTCAAAATATCTATAAAATTATTTATCGATTTTGTCCCCCTACCCCCTCCACCAAAATATTGAGACATTTATTTATCATAATCCAATATAATGGATTTCAATTGGATTACAATAATTATAATGGACTATATTGGACTGTGCTTTTACAGAAATATTAGATTTTAAAAATATGATCGTTTTCAAAGTCTTAGCTTTCAAAAATAATGACAACATTTAAGACAACTTCTCTCCTTTGTAACAGCATTTGTTCCATGAACCTCCTGGAACCAGATCTAAACTACATTTTATGATTGGATAAATTAGATATTTTACCACTGTAAAGTATTTAATATTAACCAATCATGATCCATCTAACTAACAACCCACTTATTTGTAAGTGCTGAAATTACTTGTAATTTCAGCACCAGAGAGATTTGAATTTAACTTAGAAATTAGTTGACTCTCCAAGAGGACTTCAGCAGCCGCAATAAATCAGTATACCCTAGATCTATTGAGCCTAGCAGAGACTAGTTAAACAACCTGAGACTAGATAGTATAAGAGTAAGATTAGGATCGGTATTAGACTAAGAAGTTGCACGAATCTATCCGGCCGAAAATAAGATAGCGTGACGAGCAGACGGTGTACCCTATCCGAAATTACTCTATGAGTTAACCACCTTGGTCCTAACTCATCTGGTGCGACCATAAGTCTCGAACAAGACCTTAATAGCTTAGAATTAACCAAAAATAGATTAGAATTTAGACAAAACATTTTTAAAATGTTATACGACGATAATTTAATCGAAATGTCTCTACGACTCAATAGATCAGAGCCAATATTCCGAACGATAACAGAACTACCCGGAATTACAAGAAGACCTCGAACCAGAGACGACATCCGACAAAATAGAAACTTACCAAATAGTTATATGATAGTACGGCAAAAGCCAACACAAACTTTTATATTTAGAATTTTATTAGCAATGAATTTAGATTTTCATTTGCAAACATAAAATGTTGAAGTCAATCTTCATAATCATTTCAGGCGCTAAAACAAAACTATTAATATACAATAACGATTGATAAAAAGATCTCAGATCGTTTTCCTAAAATTCTGCAGTATTATATAAAACATGTTTGGAAAATATTTATTGAAAATCAAAACAAAAATTAGTAGCATGACAATAAACTGTTAGTAATCATAAAATCATCCAATTGTCCCAGCTTCATCACCTAAAACATAACAACAATCATAAGCTCACTAATATCATTAAAACACTAAATTTTTTTCTTAAACAAATTTAAACCATTTTAAACTTAAATTCACTTAATTTTAAAATCAGATCATCAAGGCTTATCCTTGGATCTTAATTCATTTTCTATTTAATTAAATTTTAAAACTTGATCATCAAGGCCTATCCTTGGATCAAAAAGAACAATTTTGTTCTCCCCCACCCACTTAGCTAGTGTCTAACGACCTCAAACGTCGATTCACTATCCAACCCTTTCAAAAAACCCAAGACTAATAGAAATTTTTGAACAAAACTAATCATTCAAATTAGGATAAACAGTGAAGAACTTCGGTTATTCATCCTTCACTTGAACCCTCCTCTTATCAAGACCCAGGATAAATCTTAGACTTAGCAAGTTTAAAATAGTATCTAACGAACTACTCGCGTTTTAATTATACCTGAACCTTGTGGATCGATTTACTATTCTCCAACCCTTGAACACAATCACTACCCCTAAGTAAGATTAAGTAAGTTAACACCTTAGCTTATACTAGCCACGAGAAAGTAAAAAATCATTCTTCGGAATCGATATACTTTTCTCTCCAACCCTGAAAAAATAGACCCAGGTTAAGCTAACCAAAAAATCGTAAGGACTAACAGGTTAAGAAAATAGAAATCATCTAACAACTTTTTGCATCCGTCATCCTAAACCTTATGTCATTTAAAAATCTAGGAAACAAACAAACAATCGTTTTACACAACTGTGAAATAGATAACAAGAAATACGACCTTGTAATCACACCTCATACACAAAAAGTTGGATATATTAGAACAAAACGACAAACACTAAAAAGAAAAATAATAAACAAACAAAGACAAATCATACGAAAAAGATTTTCAAAAAATAGAAACGCATTTTCAGAATCAGAAGCCAGCAATTTAGATGAACTTTATAAATTAAAAGAATCTATTGATAAAAATTACCCCATTCACAATCAATTATGTTTTTCCGACTCAGAAACAACTTCAAATTCATCAAAAAGAGGAAAAAGAAGAATAAAAAAGCAATATAAACACAAACCAGTACACTTATATAATTGGAATCAACCAATTAGACACATCGATAATTACCTATTAACAGTCATTAAACGAAAAAATGAGCCAAACACACACTCCAAGTGAAGATAGTCCAGATGATGACGACATCTTCCCCTTCCTCGTAGATGCAACCAATGATAGAGGACAGCATATATTTTGCAAGAATTTACTCTTAAATTTGTTTGAACCCGGAATCAGCCCATGTAAAACAGAGTTCCCAGATGTAAAAATCAAAAGACAAATTATTGATCACTATCTGAAAGATATATGTAATTTGACACAACACTACGGAATCTACACCATAGAATTCACCTCACCAAACTCGAATCACCGCAAATATGTAATTCAAACAGACGACCTTGATTTAGAATTTTCAAAAGTATTCTCAGAATATATAAAAAGCATACAATATCATAACTCACAAAGAGCAAACTCCATATTTACTAATGAAGTTTTTGTAATAATATATAGTTATATCTCAATATTAGAAAATGAAATCCCAATCCCAAATGTCTCACCGACAGAGACATCTAAACATATAAGGGTACGACATGAAATTACACTATTTTCAACTTTCCTACATATAATTAAAGAAAATTTCACTAAAGATGAAGTTTCACAACATACAAAACATGACTTACAAAAAATTTTGGCATGGTTTATAATAGATTATTTCACACATAATATAGATTTAATTTCACAAGCAAGTAAAAATTTTAGACCTCAAAATTCAAACGATGATACCGCCATCACAGAACAGTCAGACTACATTTGGGACCCCGAATGGTCTCATTATGCATTCATAAATTTCCCACAATCAATCTCAAGTCAACCAATAAGTACAATATCTTATACAAGAGATTATGTAAGAGTAGTACCATTAACCATTGACGCAACACCATTAAACTACAATACATTTTTACCTGATACTCGAAATAACAGTTTAAACTCGACCGTCATACTCAATGAAAACCTTAATGGAACTAGGAATCTCACTCAACAAGATATTCAGACACCATCACACTTCATAAATGAAGAAATCGTCCAAACAACAACAACTACACAACAAAGTATTTCACCGATACGTCCAAATTTAACAACACCAAGAAATACACACACTTCACTAGCACAGGTAACCTTACAATCAACCGTTAAACCTTCGGTTGCTCCAAAATATTCACAAATGGATTATCAAACATATAGACCCATGACAATACCGTCAAAAACACGCAGAACGTTCACAAGAAACAATTTTGCGGAACATAATTATAATTATACACATTCATCAAAAACAAACTATCCTCCACAAAAAAATAATAATAATCAAATCAGATCTCGATATTGGGATAATCCAATGGCAACAACCAATTCAGTAAATTTTCAAAGTAATTCACATCCTCCACAGGATCGTAGTGAAAATTACCCATTCTTTCAACAAAATAAAAATAAAAAACAAGCACCTCATCAAACGGATTACCTATCCTCTGATGATGATTATTTACAACCAGATAAATTTGCACCATATACCCAAGAATATCGCGGACAAGGAGTACAGAAACCATATACACATCATAGAATTTTTTCTCCACACGAGATAGATACACAAAATCAACAACCAATACAAATGCAAAACCCAATTAATACACAATCTTTTCAACCAATTCAGCCACAAAACCCAATGATTACACACTCATATCAACCAACACAAATGCAAAATGAAATACCACTTCCATATTATCTTCAACAACACGAAATAACAAAAAATCAACTTTCTAATTTTTCACAAATGCCAAATGCAGCAGAATCATTACAAATGACAATGAATCCATACCTTATGGGTGGATCATCAATAACATCAAACAAACCATTAATGGTATTCACAGGAACAGGCCCTGAATATTCTGTAGAAGATTATTTAAATGCAGTAACAGCAAATTTAATTTTAAATATAGGACCTGAACCAATTAATACGCCACTACATCAAAACTGGATACATCGACGCACAGCGTTGATACAGACAACCTTAGACGGCGCAGCCCAAAAATGGTTTTCAGTATTGCCTATAGAAATAAAATCAAATTGGAAGAGATTTACACAAGAATTTTCAAAAATGTTTGACTCCGAAAGAAACAAACAACAACAAAGAATTTTATGTAATGAAATTCGCAGATTACCAAATGAAACCATCAAAAAATTAGCAGTACGTATCGAAACACTAGTTCGAAAAGCATATTCATTAAATACACACGACTATAAAAACACAAAAATGACAGAAATCTTAATGATGACCTTAACACCTCAATTAAGGAAAATAGCAATAAAAAAGAGAGCATCACTTCCCCCCTCAATCCGAGAGCCCGATTTAGATTTTCGAAAACTAGTAGACAAGCTAGAGCAAGCGGAAATCACAATGAAACTTGAAGAAACAGAAAATCAGAAATTACAATATGTTAACCGAATCGAAACAAATACCACAAGTATCAACAATATACAGGAATCAGATACAGACCTTGTTGAAAAAATCACT